CCTAACACGTGTCTCTGGCTGTCTGATTTACTAAGGGGTCTGATCTACTGATAGGTTTAGATCAAGTTTGCCATTGAAATTATATTAGAACTTTGGTAGATGGCCAGTCACAACAGGGAGGTATCCTTAGTGGTGCCATACAAATAACAAAAGAACCACACAGGCCTCTTCAGTTATTAGCTTTTATTTAATACTTTAAATGCAGAAATGACACTTTACTAAGGTGCATGATGGCGGATGGGGGGAGGATAAGCAGCTGCACGTAGTGGAATGCAAACTGACTATCAGATGTTATTACAGACATTGCAAATAGAATTTATTGTACAATATAAAAAAATTAATACCAGGCTTTGTATTGTATAAGAGAGTTGATCCTCAGATATGGCTATCAAGAATTGAATCACAGAATCACAGGATCTTAGGGGTTGGAAGGGACCTCGAAAGATCATCTAGTCCAACCCCCCTGCCAGAGCAGGATCACCCAGAGCACATCACACATGAACATGTCCAGGCAGGTTTTGAATGTCTGCAGCGAAGGAGACTCCACAACCTCTCTGGGCAGCCTGTTCCAGGGCTCTGTCACTCTCCCAGTAAAGAAGTTTTTTTCTGATGGTTACGTGGAACCTCTTATGCTCCGGTTTGCACCCATTGCCCCTTGTCCTATCACTGGACACCACTGAAAAAAGCCTGGCTCTGTCCTCCTGACATTCACCTTTAACATATTTGTAAACATTGATGAGGTCACCCCTCAGTCTCCTCCAAGCTCAAGAGACCCAGCTCCCTCAGCCTTTCTTCATAAGGGAGATGTAGCTCTGTGCTGGACTCTCAAGCAGTTCCCTGTCCTTCTTGAGCTGAGAGGCCCAGAGCTGGACACAATATTCCAGATACAGCCTCACCAAGGCAGAACAGAGGGGGAGGAGAACCTCTCTTGACCTACTAACCACACCCTTTCTAATGCACCCCAGGATGCCATTGGCCTTCTTGGCCACAAGGGCACATTGCTGACTCATGGTCATCCTCCTGTCTACCAGGACCCCCAGGTCCCTTTCTCCTACACTGCTCTCCAGCAGCTCAGCCCCCAACCTGTACTGGTACATGGTGTTGTTCTTCCCCATATGCAAGACTCTACACTTGTCCTTGTTGAATTTCATCAAGTTTCTCCCCGCCCAACTCTCCAGCCTGTCCAGGTCACACTGGATGGCAGCACAGCCTTCTGGTGTGTCAGCCACACCTCCCAGTTTAGTGTCATCAGCAAACTTGCTGAGGGCACACTCTGTTCCCTCATCCAGGTCATTGATGAAAATATTGAACAGCACTGGTCCCAGTACCAGCCCCTGAGGGACTCACTAGTCACAGACCTCCAACTAGATTCTGTCCCATTGACCACAACTCTCTGACTTCTTCCTTTCAACCAGTTTGCTAGATTCATTCATGTGTAACTCTGCTGCAGCTCAAGTCAGTGAAGTTTTGCTTGGTAGTGCCTGCATATATATGCGTTTATGGACCTATAAATGGTCGATTTAACTTCTAAAGTCACATGCTTCTCAATGACTTACCGCTTATATCATGAGTGTTGTTTTACTGCATTACTTACATCCAAGAAATAAAAATAGAGACAGAATGTCACTGCAAATATGATTTACATCCCTAAGCAAAAGAGTAAGAATTGTGAAAAATTCTGAATTCTTAAGTTTAAAGAAAATCATTGTAAGAACTTAATTTAATTCTTGAATTTGGTTAGAATTTTAAATAATATAAAGCAGAATGTGAAAACACAGTTTCATGAGACATCACCAGGATCTCCACAGCCTGTTTGCGTTGAGTTCCAGGTATCCTGACTCCCTGTCAGATTTAAAAGTTTAGGCATCTTCAGGCTATCCTGTAAGCAATGTTTAAAGATATATGCATGTTTTCACAGCACAGATGTTAGTGAATAGATGAACAGCCAAGAATTAAATGATTCAGTAGGTTAGCTCTGCTTTAAAATTCATAATAACATCATACCCCAGTTGCCAAATTCCAGCAGCTCACTTCAGTGCAGCAGTCAGCATCCTGTGTAACACTTGGGCTGAGCTGGGGACTGTCAGAACACCTGGCCAACCTTTGGAAGCTGCCCTGTGAAATGGTTTAGTATGAGACCTTCTAGCTCCAGTAAACTCAAATATCTCTTAAATGAAACTGAACAAAAGGTTTTGATTTCTTGAAGCAACACTTTCCCATTTTAGCCTTTATGCAGCTTGCTTTGTTAACATATGTGTGCATATTTTATGGGGTTTTGGGGGCCTGTAACACATGTGACATGCAAAAAATATCCTATAGCAGAAGAGAGGGTTTGGAATTTTGATTTTGTAAGGCAATTTGAATAGATCAAAGCCAATTTTGTGGGCTCTGTTCTTAGACTGAGTATCTTGCTTTGCTTCAGCACTAGTTAAATCCTTTGTTGAGTTTACACCTCAGCACACCTGCTCTATAGCTGTACTTCTAGTGTTTGACTTCAGAGATATTCTCTTGCCTCTTAGAATGTTTAGCCAGGAAGCTGTGGAAGAAAATAATGTGTAAATATTAAATATATAAGACTTCTGCACTAGAACAAAAGCACTAAATCTTATTACTGGTTTTGGGTTTTTTCACCACCACAGATACACATTTTAGAATTTTGTGAGAAGCTTTTCTGGATATTTGGTATTTGCCTTCCTGGGGAGAAGTGTTTTTTTTCAAGTCAGCACACATTGTACAAAGTATACTGGAATAGCCATTTTTCATTTTGGATTCAGTTTGATGCTCTTCAATATTTCTTTGAGCAAGCTCATGAACTCAAAGTTGGCTTTAAAAATAAAGCATCTCAAGGTAATTTTAGTTTTGGAGCTAAGTTACGAAACTTTTGAGAAAAGAGGTTGGGGGTTTTTTTGCTAACAGCAATAATGGAATGTTGTCTGGGATTTCTACGGCACCAAAGCAGAAGCAAACTTTAAACAAGATTATGTATGTAATAACTGCTTGTTATATTAGGACATTATCAACCTGTTTCTTTAAAGACTGCAGTATTTGAATTTTCTTATTGCTTATTTTTGACAGTTGGCTGAAGAAACAGTATGTAATATGCTTAATTAATTTTTTGTGTCTGTTTTATTTCAGAAAAGTAAACAAGTGCTACAGGGGTCGCTCTTGTCCAGTAGTTGTTCATTGCAGGCAAGTACAATTTCTAAAATAGCTTTAGAAAGATTTATATGCATAAGAATTTAAGGTAGATATAAAGAGAACGGGCAAATTAAAGATTTAGATTAATTATTAAACAGTGATTTAGACCAAAGGTATTATATATAATTCATTTGATTTTTTAATTCTGATTAATGCTCAAGATCTGTTTTCATAATAAAATTATCCTTCCCTGTGTTTTTGTTGTTGCCATGACTTTACAATGTATGGCCTCCCTTTCAAATACAAGTAGCAATTAAATTTCATAAATCTCCTTGAAAAGGATAGTGGTTCCTTGTATTCATTCCCAATTTATTCTTATTTTATTTAGACTCAATTATGTTTTATTTCTTCTTTGCTTGCTTTTAGTGATCATGGTAAGAAGAGGGCAATGTCAGGGAGTGGAAAAATACCCAGAGACTGAGTAATCCTTTAAAATCAGATTACCTTTAGGCCTGACAGTCTGAACACAGCACATGAACACTGTTGGGCAGGTCAATGGAAGACTTAACCATAATGAAGTTAATGTTTGGTTTTGCCATTGGAGGTTCTGAGTTATAAGGGGGATATTACACTTATTTATTGAAGTTATTCATGTAGATGAGGAAGATAGAAAGCCAGCCCTGTGAAGAGGCAGGTTGTTTGACATGTGGCACTCCCATTTTTGACATGTAGAATTGCCTTCAGGAAGCCTGAAAAAAGAAACATTGGATGCAGAATGAAGAGCTTTCAAGTTTCTTGCTCTTTCCTTACTGTGATGGATGCAAATGTCTCCATCCATTAAGTAGGTTTTGTTTTTATTAGGTCTAGTCACTGCCTTGTCTCTCATTATTCAACCTAACTGATAAGATTGTGTCTTTGTTCCCTTCATAGGAATAAAAAGAAAAAAAATATTACCATTACCTCCTTTTTTCTAAGCAGTGATCTAGTTACTTAAAGAAAAACTCTGTCTACACAGACTTAAAAATTAAGTTTCACAGTCTGCCTATGAACTGAATGTAATAATGTGCTTCACACTGTTCTATTATGTTTTCTTTCATTAATTGTGGCACACAAACTGAGCTATCAATAAAAACAATGGTTTAATTAATAAAAGTACATACCAGACTAATTGGTCACACATGCACCTTTGTAAAAATTTTGGGGAGCGAAAGACAAAAAGGTTTTACTTAAAGTCTTAATTATGTTTGCTAACAGCAGCTCTAAAAGAGCATCACACTGGCAATTACACGTTGGTCTCTGAAAGGGACACAAACTGCATTCAGATTAGGGAGCTTTCACCCTCCAAAGGCTTGGTCTCACATCTCTGAGGAAGGGCTGATGATACACACAAGTTAAAGCTGCTTTTTAGGAATTACATGATACTATTTTTTTCTGATGGTTGCAGCTAAGGAAGAAGTAGGAAAGGTAAAAAGAAAAAAACTAATTACTTGTGGTATATAGTGAAGAAAGATTGCAGTCCCTCAGTATTCAAATATTTGATTCTTGTACAGGTCCCTGTGTGCATTTCTTCTGGCCACTGTGTTTCAATGCAATCTGCAGCTTCTGGGGACTCTTCTGGATAATGTTCTCCTCTAGCTTATTCCATGGCTCTTGGTCTCATATACAAGTGACTACAAGCTCATTTGAGATACGCTTTTTGAACAGAAATAGTATTCTGTTCTAGGATTACAGCTTTTTCCACTATTGTTTAAAACACTTTCATTGCATAAACACAGGTTGGCTTAAAAAATCAAAACAAAGCTCTGTTACCCTTGCTGGCTAATAGTTAATCTTCTATAAACAGCTTGTGTTAATTCAGAGCAAGTTTTCTCTCCCCCTCTTTTGCCCCTTATTCTGTCTTCTCCCCCCAGCATGTAACAGTATAATATTAAGGGCAGGTAGCTTCATGTCGAGTGTAGATGCACATTGATAGGCTTTATTTTTTTCTTTTTCCCTTTCTGTTGGCAGTGATGGTGCAGGACGAAGTGGAACCTACATTCTAATTGACATGGTTCTCAATAAAATGGCCAAAGGTGAGAATCAAAAGGCTTGTTACTTCCTCAGTGCTGAAAGATGTGTTGTGTTGCCATGACAATACATGGAGCAGTATTCACAGAAAATCTGAGAATAACTTAGAGGCAAATCCTACTCTTTCCTGAACGTTCTTAAGTTTTATTTTCATAGTGATTTAAAACAACAAACTCAAATGCAAATGCTTCATGAATGAGCAGGTTGTTTTGTGCTGTTAAGAAGTATTTGAATTTTTAAATTTATCATTTAAAATAGTTATTAGAGTTTTTAGAAGCAGATATCTTGGGGCTGTACAATCCTTATTTAGTGGTTACATGAGTTAGGTGCTGGGATGCTTCATGACTGTTTGCTCAGTCCTCTGTCACCTACCCAGCCACGATGGTCAAACACAATTACTTTTCTTTTTGTAACTGATCATTGACACCAAAGCACCTAAAGGAGCTGGTACCTCATGTGCTGCACACATTTCTCTCTTAGGAGGAAAGTGACTGTAGTGAACAGGTCTGAAGGTTAAAATAAGGTCTGAAAATTAACCAGCTAATGCTGTTTCCAGCTCTGCCACTGTTTGATACTGAACAATTTATTTAGCTTTTCTGTTCCTTAGTTTCCTCATCTGTGATATGCAGCTTTCTGAAGTGACAACACCTGTCAAAATAAATATATACTGTTGTTTATTTAAAATTAAGTCTATAGATTGTGTAGAGATTTGGATCATTCCTGTTACTTTTTACTGATTTGTAAATTGTTCATGGTGGGAAGTACTTGAGATACCCTGAAATAACCCTTTTATGTTAGAACAAAACCAAATTGTTAATGCTGATACAGTCTTCAAAAGGAGGGAGGATGAAGTGGGCATGTAAACCTGACCATATGTTAAAAAGACATAATGTATATTGTATCCCTTCCTCATCCCTTTGGCCATGTGTGTATCACAGTTTCGTAGAAATGCATTTAAAGAGGAAGAGAAATCTTGTAAGGTTGAAAATAAGCCAAAAATAATTATTTGCCTTTCTTAAACTGAGTACTTTTCCTTAATATGGCATTAAGCACGTTTATTTAACAAAAAGGGATTAATAGTAAAAACATATATTAATTTATATACAAAAACACTAATTAGTTCTTTGAGTTCTAATAGCTTTAAAGTTGTTTAAAATCTTCTAACATAGCCATATTTTTGTATGTGATATAAAAATACACTCCATGTTTTGCAGTCATCTGTTGCATCCTGTGTGTCCCAGTCCTGTGGGACATCCCAGCATCCTGTCCCTCTAGAAAAAAGACTTTAGCATTTTTTCCTCTCTGTATTCTGACTGTTAACATGTCTCATCAAACATGACTTCATTTTCTGCCCACAAGCATCCTGTGGAACTTGCTGCTGATGTTAAAATAAGTTGTGTGTTTGCCTTCTTCTTAGCATTGTACTGAAAATAATTTTTCCAGTGGGATGAGATTAGTTTTTCATGCTCATTGGAAAATAGTTTTTCACTCCATGAAGGAATATGGAGATATTTCCAATGTTTGCTACATGCCACATGACAACTTAGTCTTTAAAAACAGAAGCAATGATACATCGTAAAATTAATGTAGACCTTTGTTAGGTATTTCTTTGGTTGATTTCAATCATCACCAATGAGAAGCCACAATGAAAACTAGATTTAAATTATACACAATTTACTCGCATAAAGAAGTAAATGAGAAGTATTTTCTAGCTTGGGGCTTTCAGCCACTTAAGGGAAGTTTGACTTTGTTGTAAAAGCACTGAAGAATGCCATTTATTGACTCCATTGTACCATGTAATGTCAAATTCCATTTTAAGTGTGGGCTTAGCACTTCACAATGCCAGACAAGTCATGTGAAACTGGCCAGAGAAAGGCGTCACAGGGCTTTTTGGAGATCGGTCACCCCCATTTTGTTCTTGACCTGCTCCCCTCTGTCCGTGGGGGTGTGCGACGTGAAATCCCCTGACCTGGTGCTTTGGCTGGGGTTTAAATGAAAGATCAAAGGGCAGAGCGGGCATCTCAGCCCTGCTGAGGTGGGCCTTTCCCAGGCTGTCACACTGTGCGGCCGCCAAAGGTTTTGTTCGGGCGGGAACCGCGGCCCAGCCTGTGCGGCCGGGGCCCTCTTTGTCTGGCCTGAGAAGCTGGAGGCCCAGGTTGAGGATCCAATGTTCATCAAATGATCAAAGGCCTGAAGCCCTGGACATGAAATCTTTCTTTCCATTTCCTTTTCTTAGAGAATGAATTGCACGAGTGGCAAAGAATGCCCTTTCCAAAGCTTTTATGTGGAGTGCGAGGGCTAACCTCAGAGTCCTTCAGCGCTCAACATAAAAATGTAAGTGCACTTTCAATCTGGGCCCAGCTGCAAGGCCAGCATCTCGTAACATTTCTTTCAAAAAGGCTTTTAAGGATTAAGGCCTTCAGCCTTTCAAAAAAAAAAAAAAAAAAGGCAAAAAACCACCAAAAAACCCAACAACAACCAAAACAACAAAAAAAAACACCAAAAAAACCAACAAAACAAAACAAAAAACCCAGACTTCTAAGAATACAGTTTGAATAATTTGAGTTTCTTGTTCCACTCTCTGGTTTATTAGAAGGTAGACAATAATGCATTTTTAAATCAAAGTAAATAGGGGAGTACTTAGTTTCACCAGTAGGAAAGCAGAAAGCAATTAATAAATGCCTTGGCTCTTTAGTGGGGTTTTTAATAGGGTTGGTTGAAAAAAGGAGCTCCTTTTTCATGTAATGATTTACTTCCCTGCATTCTCTTAGACAGTTAACTGTAAATGGCTTTGTCATTCACAACTTCTTCTCCTAGTGCTCATTAAATTAGTGCTAATACTTAGTCTATCAAACACGTTACAAATTCATATCTTCTACTATCTTGCCTGTTGCCATCCCTTGTATTATTTTAGATGCTGAAAACCACCAGCAAGGGACCTGTTTCTGAAGCTTAAAGCAGGGAAAAAGAAACCTAGTTAGGGAGGGTTTTGTGCTTGGAACCCGCCACATCAGCTTGACAGCCCCAACCCCTTTCAGAAAGCAGGAGTGAAATTTAAAAAAAAACAAAGCACCCTCTTCTAATGCATTTGCAAGATTGAAAAGTTGGTACCGAGGATAGAAATGGCCCCTTGATGTCCTTCAGGGCGTTCAGCTGGCGGGAGGGCACGGGAGAGCTCTCCTGGAGCTGGCAGGAGCCCTTGCTCAGCAAACACCTTCCCAGCCAAGCTGCTTTTGGGAGCTGCAGAGCACCAGCCTGCCCTCAGCTCTGCACAGCACCAGGAAGGGTTTCCTGTTGGGTTGGATTTTTTTAATGTATTTTGCTGTCCTCTGTGCAGTAAATGTAAAGGCTGCATCTGTGCTTTTGCTCTGAACAGCCACATTAAATAATCTTATTGGATACAGAACAGTCAGAGAACAACGGTGCTATCATTCCTGTGTCGTGTCAGCAGAAAGTTTTAAATGCAAGTGTATCCTTTTCTCTAGTTGTTCCAGTAACCCCGTGCTGCTATATATCATATAGTTTATTACTGTAATTATTTTTCTGCCTAGATTTATTTGCAGAGCAGTTAGAAGACCCTGATCCTGTACCCACTGAAGTAATAACAAAAATTAAAGTGTTGAGTCTGGCCTTAAAGTAACATGTTTAAATTATATTTAACATTATTTAACTATGATGCTATTTTTACCTGGGTGTTAAAATTTCAAGACAGTTACCAAGTCACCTCTCATTTCCCTGACAGACAGCTTAGGACAAGATTTGGTTTTGATGGAGACGTTGAGAAGTAATTTGTTTCAAGTCCATGTTCACTTCCATGATTTATATAAATACAGAAAATTATAATGGATTGTTTTTTTAGATAACAATGCGTGCTGGATTTTTGACAGAGACTGTTTTTCTAAGGTTGATTTCTGCTGAGGATTTCGACATCCTTGATGTATTTACAAGTTTTATCCTTCATTACTGGGGAAGATAAACTGATTTAGGTTTAGTCTACTTGATATTCCTCCCTCACCCTAAACTCACAGTAACTCTGAGCTGATCAGTTTTTTTTTTCTTCTTGTGTGCTCTAGAGAAAGGTTGAGAATTTTCTCATTTCTTGTCTTTCCTGCAGGCTTATTGTAATGACTAAAAGTCTGATATATTTCAGGACATTTTTATTGAGTGTTTCTGGCATGGAAAAGAAAAAAAATTAAATTATGACTCTTCCCACTTTTATTTTCTGCACCGAGAGGCTTGGATAGTGTAGATAATGGTTTGATTTTTAGATATCAATCCAGCCAGCAGCTGCTTGTGGTTTGCTGACAATCCATTTTCTTGTGTTTGAACTAGCTGGAATGAGATGAGTCAAAGGGAAGACTAATATGAATTTTAAAATCCTTTTAAAGTATTGATTTCTGAATTCTTAAACCCAGCAGAAAGATTTGATTTAGCAAAGCCAGACCAACGGTTTATTCTCTCGCATTCAAAAGCTTGGATTATAATTGATGAGCACACCCGCTCTGGCCTGGGCTGGTTGCTGAGGTTATCTCCCCAAGTCCTTTCCTTGCCCTCGCTACCCTATTGTCTGAGGGTCTTATGAGTCAGCTCCTGAGCAGATGCAGTTTATACCATGACATTTTAAGGCAAAACAAAAGATTCCTTAATTCGCCTTCTGACTCATCGTGATCAAATGATTTTGGCTAATCTGAACCCTTGCTGAGGTTTTGCTTAGCTGCTGTGTGGATTTAACAATCATAATCAAGTTGTGGGGTTAGCTCCTCTCTGAAAGGATTTTATGAAAGAAAACGCTTGCCCATATTTGTGTTAAAATGGATTCAATCTGCTTATTTTTGAGTCTTTATGCAGAGTCTGAGAAAATTCTATTGTTTGGTTGTGCTGATACAAGTCTAGAGCCAGACTCCTTCTGACATGCTCTTGGTGAACAAGGGAATATTTCTTTAGCCCAGAATCCAGCCTCTCCCAGGAAAATAAAACTTAACATACTACCTGTCATCCAGTGGTT